ACCCCTGACCCACATCCTCACTTCCCCAGCATTTTTTATTTTTCATTTTAAGACAGGATCTCGCCAAGTTCCTTAGGGCCTTGCTAAGTTACTGATGCTAGCTTTGACCTTGGGATCCACCTGCTTCATCCTCCTGAGCCCCTGGGATTACAGGCATACTCCACAGTGCCCAGCTCTATTATGTGCTTTCTTAATCCACATTCCCTAGGAATGCTATGCAGTCCTTGTGAAAAGTTTGAAGTTGTATATCTTTCTCTGTGTTTTAGGACAATATAAACAGCATTAGAATAAACTGTTCCCTCAAGAGTTTTAAAAGAATGGGCTGATAAAATAATCAAAGTATTGAAGAGAAAATACAGAGTAATATTGATCCTAAAACATTTTCAATTTTTCATATGCTTATTTGTCTGTTTAGATTTAGGGGAATATACTGTAGTTTAGAAATTCCTATAATTTTAAAGCTTTGAGCAAGTCCAAGAGTTCAACAATTGTATAAGTGAACAAAACAAAACCTTTGTAAGCACATGCTTATGTGGGAGGAAGGTTTTAAACCACTGTGGGAATTAATTCAACACATGGTATTGGGAAAACAGGCTAGCCACAAAGGCAAAGAAAAGTGCACCTGTAGCCCTCACTCCTTTTATTAAAATAAATCCACAGAGATTAAAAATTTAAATGTAAAAAGTTAATCCAACAGATAAAAAATGGGAGATAAGCATCTTGGAGGAGGAAGGCCTTTATGAATACCTCTGGAAACCAGAAGGTATTATAACATGTTTTCAAAAATGAATTTTACAATATTAAAAGCTATGTTATATTATGGCATAAACATAAAGGGTTTTAGAAGCAAACAAACAAACAAACAAAAAAGAACATGTAGAACAAACCATGCATTAACATCTTTCATTGATAAAAGGTTCTGAGTAATAAAATGAGAAAAAAAAATCAGAAGAACATTTAACAGAAAATAAGAATATGGGATTCACTTTGATTATACTTCTATGTATCCATGAACAATGGTTTGATCTCTGTATTTTATGTTCAATGGTTTTGACCCCATTCATAATTTGCTCTTATAGGTTTTCTTAACCATATAACTGAAGGCAAGTAATAAAATGTAAAGAGTAATGAGAATTGGAGCAATTTTCCTTTTTTTGGCATTGTTTTGTTTTTTACCAAGAGCACTAATAAATTTTATAAAGACATTAGAATCCTCAAAATAAGACAAGAAACTACAAATTTCATTTCTGGTGTTGAAACTCTCAGTATCCAGGCTTTCAGACTCATATGAGGCAATGACAAATTCCACACACATTTAGAAGAGTATGAACTCATAGATTTATCAGCTGGTTGCAATTTTACATGAAATCGGGCTATCAGCTCACAATCCAGAGGCTTTGTCACTGACAGCTGACCTGAGATGTGGTTGATAATGAAGATGCCAGTAGGAGGTTGGTCAGCTCCAGGCCTAGTGACACTGTACTGCAGTGACAGGTTTTTGTCCCTATCAGACCTGATCTGAAGACCAAGAAAACAATGACATTAAATGAGAGACTAACTGAGCTCATTATCAGAGATAGCACATGCCACACTTCCTACCCTTGTTCTGTTACAAACTTGCTCCTTCTCTTTCCAGAATGCCACTGAAACTTCCTCAGTGCCTGCCCCTCCTCTCTGCTTCTTGGTAACAGCCTTCAAAAAGAGATGTCACCTAACCCAGAAAGACTGGGGGCAATGTTCACCTTTAAAAGAATGCTCACTAGGAGTAGTGCAAAAAGTCAAAATTTAGGAGTGTCAGTTTTTAGACAGAAACTCTGGGCTAGACTGTTTAACATAGTAACAATTGTCCAAGTTAATTGAAATAAAAGCTGTTTACCTTTTTTCATCAGTTACAGTAAGCAGTAATTATCTATTCATAGTGTGAAATATGCTTTCACAGAACTCCAACATGGTGGAGCCTGGACATAATATTTTTTACTTGCTTTGCACAAAGACTCTTCATTGCAAGAAAGCTTTCCATATCATTTTAAAAAGGCAACTAATACTATAATTCTTTATTAATAAGGAGCTTATGAGAAAGGATCTCAAGAGATATTTTTATACTCCCAAACTGTATAGCCACTATAAGCACATTTCCTTCTCCTCCAAATACAATGGTTCTCAGAAAAATTAAGTCAATATATGAGTAGCCTTTGGAGGCTGAAGAGAATCTCTGGACAGAGAAGAAGGCAGGCAGGCATAAAAAGGGCTGACTGGGAAATACCATTTAGAGGTAATAATAATAGATCTTTATGTGTTGGATAAATAAACTAAATTCATTAGTAAAATCTGATTGTGTTTTTATTAAAAGTTAAAGCATCATTCTCTATTTTCTCATATTCCACTGAAATAGAAAAAAATAGCACCTTTGTTTTGGGGTCATGCTCATTGGTAAACTGAATTACAATGTACAAAGGACAGAATATACAACACAAATAAGTGGTTTATTAAAAAACCCACATCTCTCAATAAATGTGAGTCCACGTGCTCAAATAATCATCCATAAGAACATTTACATTTTAACAGATGGAAATATAATGATTTTTGTCTTATTTTCCTTTTGTCATGAATAATGGGCTGACAATTTTACTAAACATGCAAAAAATCCGTATTTTTAATTTCTTCATGTGAAGGGTAACCAAAAAAAAAAAAAAAAAAAAAACTAACTTCAGATTTGAAAGCCTTTGGTTTTACACTGCCCTAGGGATTCTGATAATGGTATCAGAGGTCATTTTTTTCCTTTTAAAAACTTTCAAATGCACTTGGTGCTGGCATTTTTAGCAGTGATTCCCCCCCACCTTTTTTTTCCTTTGGCCCCGAAGCAGAGAGCCCAGCTCCCAGCAAGGCAGCTCCAGGGTCTGTACTGAGAGTGGGTGAGGAGTGCGTGGAGATGCACATAGCCTTAGTATTCACGTATGGAACAAGCATTACATCCACAGCATCCAGGACCACAGTGGGGGCTGCCTACAAATAGTGCAAGAGATAACCAAGGAAAACAATAATAGGTTTCTACAGTGTTATAGAAAACCTAGCTACAGAAAAAAAAATGTTTTCCATACAGATGTCATAAACTCATAAACTTTACTTTGGAAAAAAAACACAAAAACTTTTCTAACAGATAATTACCACATGCCATGGGAGTAATTAAAATTGCACCATCTTACCCCGACAAGCTCTTGAGGAAAAGGTCCTCTGGAATTTTCTGGCAAGTTGGTGGGAGGGATGACCCAGTCTCTCTTCTGCCTTTGTAGGTATCCACTGTGTTTGGTGGATTGTCTTGGGAATACTATCTCTTCAATTTCATGGGACTCCTTTGCATTAAAATATAACAAGATATTCCTGAGTACTAGGAAAAACATTTTCTGAAAGAACATCAATATTAATGGGTACCTGAAAGTGTAGGAACCACAGTTTATTATGAACAGAAAATAACTCTGGAGGCCCTTTCCTTATCCCCTTATTAATATAATAGAAAACCAACAGCATAAAATTTATGAATTGCACTGTTCACTGAAACATTGAATTCTGAACAATTTATTATTGGGCTCAGGTGTGTAAACTATTTGCAGTTTCTATAAACCATCTTAGATAGTAGCTTAGTACTGAGCAAAATTTAATAGTACCCTTTTATATATTTCTCATTAGTTTAAACCACAGTTCAGGTAATGTGCTACTGTACATTAAATTTAGATCTTGATGTGCTAAAATATAATTTGAATTCCAAAGGAAGTTTAATACATACTGCTAAGGAATGTCTCAAATATTTATGACCCTATTAAATCCCACAGAATTAATGCTGTAATTATTCTAAACCTATGTCAGCCATGATGGATGCTGGAAATGACCCACTTTGCACACTAGGTATTAATCTTTGCTAGATGTCAACATTTTCTTCTTTTTCTCCCAATAGCTGTAGACATTTTAGCCATTAGCCCTTCCTGCTTCAGTGCAAATACTCAAGTTAGTTTGTTAGGACACAGAGCATCAAAAACAATAAAAGTATCTTTTTACTCCATTAGTCACCATGTTCTTATTTTATATTATGCAAATGATATGTTTACCTTTAAAAGTTAATTGATTAATTAAAATTTCACATAATGAAATCTCAACAAATAGCACAAGAAAAAAATGACATTTTTCTTACATATATTCATTCTCATTTGATTATGGTTGTGTATATCACATTTACAATTAAATACCAGAACTGATTTTGTATATTCTTGTCTCTCACAGTACAATAAATGTGCAAAATGTAATATAGTCACAGTTCATCAAACCATGAACTTTAGAATATATGGGTGTGCTCCCTTAGTAATTGTTTTTAATTAAATCAAAGAACTAGAATAGTCTGAAAATAATATTATCATAACTTTACTAAAGAATTTATTGTATCTTGTTCAAAGTACTTAATATAGTGACTTATACAAAGTAAGTGCTCAATAAATGTTTCTGAACTGAATTGAACAGTACTCTCTTGGAAATGTAGCTCACAGCAGCTTCAGCCAGAGGGAGTATATCATTCCTAAAAGTCATATCAGTAGTATAAATAATTCACACTCCCAATTTGATTATTAAGAGACAAAACAGATCCTAACACTCATTGCCAGAAATGCTTTTCTGTTACTACTGTAAATCTGTATTTCCCATCTAATAAATTTGACTGGTAATGACATGCAAAGGAATTTTTATTTTGTGGTTATATTTAACAGCTTATAAAGCTTCTAAGATGCAAAACAAACTACTTCTAATTTTAATTAAATTATAATCTCAAAGTATAAACAAATCTTTCAAATATAATTTCTGTTCACTTAAAATATACTTGTCTAAGAATTTAAAAGATTAAAAATACTGGTAAAGTAACTGCAGTTTATAAAAAAAAATCAAGTACTGGCCATCTATTTCATGTGATATGAAGCAAAATGTGTACACACACACAACACTTTTTGTTAACTGTATTAATTTTTGTTTTGTAGACATCAGCTCCAATATTATACCTTTGCCAGCTCCTGGGTTAAGGTTGGCTTGAGACTCAGCTTTACTGCCACTTGCCACTTCTCTTGGGTCTCCTTGTCTTGGGCATATATCAGGAATTTATCATGCTCAGAAGAGAGTGGAAAGCTTCTCACGGCATAGACCATGCCATCTTCATCCACCTTGAAATCTGCAGGCTCGATGCTTTCATACTGTACTTTTCTTTTTCCATTGCAGTTGCTAAACTTCACTGTATAAGATAGCAAATATACGTCTAACTACACAACAAATACAAAGACAACTTATACTTAAATCTATTTTAGGTTAGATGATAAAATGCAGTAGCATGAAACACAAATTTTAGTTTTACATGATTAGCGGCATTTTCTTTTCATAGAATGCAGTTTGGCTCTCCACATCTGAAGGTTCTGCATCCCAGATTCAACCAACCTCAAATGTAGTTGAAAGTATTTGAAAAAAAAAAAAAAAAAATATATATATATATATATATATATATATATATATATATATATATATATATTGCTGATGTACAGAACTCATGCAAACTTTTTTTCTTGTCATTGTTCCCTAAAGAAGATGATAAACTACTAACAGGACATGTACATTGTATGAGGTATTATAAGAAATCTAGATGATTTAAAATATGTGGGAGGAGATTCATAGGTTATATGAAGATTTTATGCTATTTTGTGTCTAGGACTTGAGCATCCCTGGATTTTTTATATGCTGTGGTCTTGGGATGAATCCCCTATAGATACCAAGAGAGTAGTTTGGGGTTGTGGCCTGGCATCTCTCATTTCAAAGCCTGCCGCTCCTCTCCACAGTCCCCTGGGTATCCACTGTCAGCTACACTTGCTGTTCACTCTGATGCATTTCAAGGAAGTTGCTTTCCACTCCTAATCTCATTGTCACTGAAGGTAGAACAAACCCCATGTTTTCCAACTTCATGTAAGCTATCTTGGCTCTACTACCAGTTTCACAGCCATGCCTGACATCCACCTATAGAGCCAATAAAGACAAATTTCCTTAATTATCTTGGATATTCTGTATATTTTTTTGCACATCATCTTAATGCATAATTTTTGAACAAATGCTTAAAGCAAGAAATAATACTGCTATGTTTCTTTTTCTTTATTGATGTTGAATGCGCTCTATGCTCTAGAAGTACAAGACTTCATGGTTATTGAAAGGTGAATAATTAGCAATTTCTATCCTTCCTGCTTGTAATAGTTCAGTTAAGCAGCAATTTTATAAAATTTCCCCAAACATGAAAATAAAAATGTCCTCAAAGTAAATTTTAAAATTAAAAAAAAAGTATGCCTTAAGAATAAAAGGATCAAAAAGATTTCAGGATCTTAATTATCTAAATCTCAAGTGTAATGACTTAAGATTGAAGAAAATCACTGATTTTTAAAATGGAATATCAATCCACTGATGTCTCAATAAATAACAAAAATTAAACTGTTTTTATGAATGAAGAATTGGACATATTCAAGACAAAGTAAAATAATAAAAACAAAAATATTCTCTAAGGAAGATTATTTTTCTTATAGTCCTTAATTGTTCTTTTTGAAGAAAAATTCTTTCAGATTATCAGGTAACAGCATCAAAGAAAAAGCAATTTTTCAATTACATAAATGACTGATGCTGCATTCTGACCCCAAATACATAGGATGTGCTTTGGAAAACAATCAACAGGTACATATTACAAACCATATTCACATGCCTTTCACGTTCCTCATAATCTAAGAAAAAATTATACAAACTGCCCCTACCCTTATACAAACTGATAACAGCTCTTTTATTTTCATTAATATAAATTCACTGCAATGTACATAAAACCACAGCCAAATAACATGGATGCATATTTCCTTTCATAACCATAAAATTCTTTTTTTATTAGTTGTTCAAAATATTACATAAAATTCTTGATAGAAGTAATAAAATACTTTAACTATTGAATATATTATTTTCCATATAATGCCACACATATCATCCTTCTTTACACTGATAATTTCAAAATGAAAATAAAATAATATTTCAAACTAAATTATGTTAAACCATAAGGTTTATCTTTAGAGTGGAAGTATCCTAATTAATATTGAATTACCCAATTTTTCCATGCCATGTGATTTAACTTGTTTTTTTTTTTTTTAAAGGAAGGGATATTTCCTAGGAAACAAGGACATTTACTGCTTATCTTTTATTAAAGACAACCAAATAAAAACTGAAATTGTTTTTTTTTTTTTTTTTTGGAACCTTGCTGAGAAGTCTAAAGACTTTTTACCATCTTTTAGTATAAACTCTACCTTTCGAATATTACCGAAGGAAATCATAATTCTTAGGCTAGATCTGAATGATTTTATACTATTTCACATTTTCACTTTAAATTTTGACACTCTGGCATTAATCCTCACCTATACACACCTGGGTTGCTACCCTGGCCTCCTAGTGGTCTCCCAGATCCAAGTCCTGGCACTCACTGCTAGATTTGACCTCTGCTGTGATTTTTCTCCTCCTGGCTTTGAATCCATAATATTGCACTTGAAGTCTTTAGGCCACTGTGCAATGCTTTATGAATGCTGTTTCACTTCCTGATCATTCTGTCTTTATCTTACTTACATCAATTTATAACACATAATCTGTCCAGATTCCATAGTCATTCCCTTCCTCACTGCTACCCACATCCCACACTCATGAACTTGTGGGTTACACTTTCCATTTTTCCACACCACAGTCCTTGAGCCAGGCCATCATTCCAGGGGAGGATTCCCCCAAGATGTCCTTCAGAAGATGTCAGCATATTCCCTGACAAGACTGCCATGAATTCTCCATTTTAATTATATTTTGCACTTCTTGTCCATTCAAACACACTAACTTTTATAGTGTAATAATTACTACAGTAATGCTTTTTTATTAAAGGTTCCATTTGACTAGAATGGCAGACTATAGACTCATTTTGGTTTCTTGATAGTGGTTCTTTTGTTTACTAGAACACCTAATGGTGACAGGGACAACATTAACTCTCCTTCTATAATCCATTAAAATCTTACAACTAAAACTAGAAACAGATTGGAAACTTAATGTGCAATAGCAACATTTAGTGATGAAAACAACACAGGTCCTTCAAATAATCTGAATTTGTATTAATTTGCTGATAGTGCAAGAAATTGAACGAGTATTTGCTGAATTCTAGGTACTGTGCAGCACGCTTAAAATCAGGTTATATACACTTTTACCTTGACAGCCTCCTGAAGTGGAAATCACTATTTGTCCTACAGATGGAGAAGGAAAACTTGGACAGCCATTTTTGCCCATGGCTCTTCTACTTCTAGTCATTTCCTTAGGAAAGTGCCAAAGTATGTAAAATCATGACTCTTGAATATTAAAATCTAAGGCTCTACAAAAATAAAAATTAAAGAAATTACAGAGGCCTGATAAATGCTTGTAAGAAAAAATAATGCTAAATTTAGACTTTAGGGAGCACCATGGTAAATAGTGCATGAAAGTAATTAAATTGGAATATATCTGAATTGTCCTATAGAGGGCAGTAGCTGAAGCCCCTTCAGGTGGAGTGAGAATGTGAGCAGACAGAAGAGGAGAATTAACTCTTCGTTACTATGGGTGCCTGTTCTTTTGATTCAGCACTAGTTAACTCTTTGGATTCAGGTGTCAGTGCTTCAGAGAGTGTGTAGTTTTCTTTGCATCACTATGCACAATACATATGAGAAGAGCAACTCATATATCTTGTCATAAGCCAAAGCTTATGGTTTCGGAGGATTCAGTATATGGCGGAAGGTCATGGTGAAGGAAGGCTGCTTAGCTTCTGACAGCCAGGCCACAGACAGAGGAAGTAGTTAAGGACAGATAAAGCCCAATGTCATGCCCTAAGTGACTCCAAGTAGGTCCTTCCTCCCAGTAATTTATTCATCTGTCAATGGATTAATCCACTTGTTGGATTAATCCTTGCTACATTGGAGATCATGCTTCCAACATAATGAATTTGGGAAGATATTCCGGATCTACACAATAATAGTAAGGGAAAGAGGAGGGCTTTCGGGAAAAAATGCACTTGCAGAGCAGGAAAAAAAAAGTGACTTTTTTTTTTTTTAACAAAGTTTCTCTAGACATCCTATGAATGAGCAATGGTTGACCCTAGAGAGTCTGACACTGGAGAAGCATTTGGGAGGAAATTGTATAAAGGTCAGTTAATTAAAGTTAATTAGTTGTTTCACATTATCTCTATCTAACCTATACCAAGTATGGATTGGTTTAATATATCTGTTATTAAATTTTTCTGAGTTCTAAAAAAATGTTAATTTTCATTTGATCTAATATTAAAATAAGCAAAGTTTTGGGGTATTATTCAGGCTTGAAGAAGTACATTGCATTATATAATTCCCTTTGCACATTCAGCCAGTACAAAGAATTAATACTTAAAATTAAAATTAGTCAACTTTCAATTGAGAAAGTTCCCATAGGTGAGATATTACTCTTGACTTCATCCCAAGGTTGGGAAGTATTCCATTTCCAGTGCCTGGCTCAGTTACCTGCTTCATCAGTGTTAGTGATGTATTGTTATTTTCAAGCTATGCAAACTAGAATGCTTACTAATTCCAACAGGAAAATGTAAATTCCATTATTATCTACTGGCTAATATTTATTGTCTGTTGTCATGTTCATCTATGATCTAGATGTAGCTAGGAATATTTTCTCAAATTTGCCAAGATTTACCTCTGCTCTAGGACCATGCTCTGAAACATACACAAGAGGATTTCCTTTCTTTCTTCTTCTTTCTTCTTCTTCTTCTTCTTCTTCTTCTTCTTCTTCTTCTTTTTTTTTTTTTTTTCGGGGGTGGGGTGGTGGGAATTGAACTCTGGGGCACTGGACCACTGAGCCCTATTTTGTATTTTATTCAGAGACTGGGTCTCACTGAATTGCTTAGCACCTACTTGTGATCCTCCTGCCTCAGCCTCCCAAGCTGGTAGGTGCACCACTGCACCTGGCAAGAGGGTTTTCTTTTTAACAGAAATTTAAAAGTTAATGGGGGAAAAAAAAGGAGGGAAAACTGATAAATTACAGAATCTTGATCCACACCAGTAATATATATTCATAATTGATAAATTAAATTTAGTGTATAGCCTTTCAAAGATGTTTTTGTGATAAAAATATTAAGTGAAAATGGACTAAAGCAAGAGACATGTTTAATAATTAAAATTAAATTCAAAA